CTAAGTCAATCCCTTCATCATGTTCCATGTACCAAGCTTAGTAAAATTTTACATGTTATGCCCTAATCATGCACAAGTTCTGGGCTCAGCTTCTGGTACTCTTAGAGTATATCTACACCCTAACTTCCCACAGCTTCCCACTTCTACCCTGGGGTACACCAGCCACTTTTACCTTAGGTGTCTTCTGTGCTTCCATGGTGCCCTACCATCTTACCATTGCATTCATAAAATAGCTTATGTAACAAAGAGGAAAATAAAATGCAATGTGCATTAAAACATTACCTATATACTTGCAGTTCTGACATAATGGAGTAAAGTTATCTTTCTCCCTTAAACTTCCATAAAACAACAAAGCCATTAAAAAATATAAAAGAAAACTCTATCATCAGGAAAATTAGGAAAGACTTGCAGAAATATATGTAAAGAAGAGCCACTAACAATAGTGAAAATTTGAGCAGGAATAGAGAGGTTATGGAGAGAACATGTCTAAAGATGCAAATTTCAGACAGAGCCAGCCTACTGCAGAATTCTTAAAGTAGATGGCATATTTGAGGAGAAAATTCAGCAACACTTTTCTTGCTCAGAAGGACAAGATTGCAGAGTAAGGCTTGCCTGGGGAAGATTATCTGAACTACCCAAAAGAGGGACAGGTAACATAGGGCTAAATGAAGAAATGTCATCGTTGCCACTGATCTCTAGGAAGGGAGTCTATAAGGGAAAAACAGTCCTATAGCTGCCAACTATTGTCAATTTAAGACAAGCATTAAAACAAAACAAAATAAAAAAATTAAGCCAAAACTTGAAAGTATTATGCTGAGTAAATTAAATAAATCACAAAGGACAAATATTGTATTATCTCACTCATATGAAATGACAAGAACAGGAAAATATATGGAGATGAAAAGTGTATTCATTATTGGTTACCAGGGGTGGGAGAGAGAAGAAGAGGAGGAACCATTGTTTGGGAAGCAGCAAGTTTCTGTTTATAGTAATAGAAAATTTGGCAGTGACAAAGAGTAGTAACTGCACAACATGATTAATGTAATTGATATCACTAAGTTGCATACCTGAAAAATGTTAGATTGGCAAATGTGTTATATTTATTTATTTATTTATTTTTACAACAAAAAAAGGCTAAGCTAGTCTATGTACAGAGACACAAAGCACAGTTATACTTTGAGCTAAGGAGACCTACTACCACAAAGCACTGGCCCTTCCCAACATTGTCTGTCTAAAATACACAATTCCAAAATAAATGGTAATAATTATAAAGAAATTACACATAATCCATTAATAATTATCCCAAGGAAAAAATATTGCATAAAGGATCAGGAAAAAATAAAATAAATTATTGAGGAAAACATACCCCTGAAATATGTGGCTACATTTAAAAAGAAAATCATCACCAGGTATATACCATGAAATAAAAGAAAATCTAGTGCAAAAATCAACTTCCTCTTAAAATGAGTGTCAGGAGTAAAGATCCAGAGGCTTAGGAAAGAAGAGAAATATGATAATGGAAATAAATGAAAATAAGTAAGGTGCTTTTCAGTGGGCTGAATGCCTGCTGCACCTATACCCAACTCCAAATACGTGGAGCCACTAGATAAAATATAAGAAAATAACCTTGAATATTTAACAAAATTCAAACCCAAAAAACAATATTGATACAATAGAAGTAGAAGATCAATGTTAGAGAGTTCAATGAGAGGTAAAGTCAAGTCACGTAAAGGTTATCAGGAACAAATTAAGGCTGTTCCATTGGCCCTTGAATTTCACTGTCCACAGGAAGGAAAGGCCCAAAGAGAATAAGATTGGACAAATTCCAGCTACCACTGGCTAAGTAGTATCTCAGTTGCTTGGGTTATGTGAATAGAGAAAGATTTTTGTATAAAAAAATCAGAAACTCAGGCCTGTGTCATATGCAGATGTACCATCTAAAATTCCACTACCAACATGGTGTTATGTACTATAGCCTAAACACTTATAACCACCACAAAAAAAATGTCCTTGAAACAGTGAAACTCATGGGGATGGCAGAAGAAACTGAATTGCAGCAGTATTTCCATAGTCCCAGATACATCGGTCTCCAACAGAGTGGTCTATATGACCTCATGGTTAAAACTTATAAAGTATAAGAAAATAAGCTATCATGAGAGAGTTAACCCAAAACCAAATTCACTGCCATCAAGTCAATTCAACTCATAGTGACCCTTCCTTGGGTTTTCGAGTCAGTATCTCTACAGAGGTAGATTGCCCAATCTTCCTTTAGAAAGTAGCAAAATAAAAGAAAACATATAAAAATAGGAATACTTTTATTCTAAGAACTACAAATAAGAGCATTTGGAAAATGCTTTAAATCTAAACAAAACCCTTTGCTATCGAGTTGATTCCAACTTATTGTGACTCTGTGTGACAGAGCCAGAACTAAGCTGTAATCTTTACAGAAGCAGATTGCCGGGTTTTTGTTCTTCAGCACCATTGGATTGGTTCAAACTGTCAATTTAGCAGCCAAATGCAAACAATTTGCACTACTCAGGGATCTAGTATGTTGAAAATATTTAAAGATAAACTGGAAAATAAAAACTAAAAGACGAGGACATATGAAAAATGGAAAGAGAATGGGTTTTTCAAAATAGCACAAGAAAACTTTAAATGTATAATCATTGCAATTAAAAATTCAATGGATAAATTTAACAGAAAACAGTAACTGAACATGATTAATCTTGAAAACATGCTCAGTGAAATAAGTCAATTGCAAAAGGATAAATACTGTATGAGTTGACTTATATGAAATAATCAAATACATGTTGTTGCTGTTGTTGTTGTTATGTGCTGTCAAGTCAGACCCAACTCACTGCAACCCCTCCTTGGGTTTCTGAGGCAGTATCACTACAGAATCAGATTGCCCAACCTTCCTTCCAAGAACATACATAGAAGAATATTTATTGTAGCTCTACTTATGACAGCAAAAGATAAGAAATAATTTAATTATCCTTCACTAGAAGACTGGCTGAATTAATTATGATTTATACATAAAATGGAATGCTTCTCAAAAAAAAAAAAAGAAAGAAACTCTTTAAGCACTAACATGGAACAATATTCAAGCTATTATTTATAAGTATGAAAAACCAAGGTAGAGAAGGGTGTGCATGCTATATGTGCATTTATTTAAATGGAGGATAGATAATAAAGATGCTCATATATAAATCGAATACCACTAGAAATATACATGTATTTATTTGCTTCAGATAAGTTGAATTCTAGTCGGCAAGAGAATGAGAAGAAAGGGAGTGCTAGGAGTAAGTAAAATGTTGTTGTTGTTATCTGCCGTCGAGATGGCCCCAACTCATAGGTCCCTAAAAATATTAAGAACACACTCACTATCAGGGTTGTGAAAGTGCAAGGATGGCACATGCATCACCTTGATCATGAGTGCCTCCTTAAATTTTGCACCTCATCCTAATCCAGCCCTGCTCATAATATTACCTTTCTCTTGCCTATTCTCCTAGCTATTTCTCCCTGATGAGCTCAAGTTTGTCAGCTGGAAGATAGAAAGCCCATCTCTAGAACTTTAAATTTCTCAGGCAGATATTAAACAGCAGTCCCCTAAGTGTTTCAGAATTTTCCAATCTCTCCCATTGACTGAATTCCTAAACTTTTGCTGCTTTTTCCAAAGAATCATCTTAATAAATTCTCTATACTTAACCTCCAAAGACTAGATGCTTTTATATTCACAACATATGTGAGGAATTTGAGCTGGGAAATTAGTTTTTACATATTTGTGTTATATATCACTTTAGGGTTTCAGAGAAAGTTTCTATTTTAACAATTTATTGCCAATTATAAGGAGCTCTGGTGGTGAAGTGGTTAAGGCATTTGGCTGCTAATCAAAAGGTCTGTGGTTTGAACTCACCAGCTGCTCCATAGGAGAATGATAAAGCACTCTGCTTCCATAAAGACTCACAGCCTTGGAAACCCGATGGGCCAGTTCTACTCTGTCCTATAGTGTTGCTATGAGTCAAAATCGACTCAATGGCAGTGGGTTTATTGCCGATTATTCTCTGTAGCTCATAGAATTTTCTGAGTAATAAATGTGGAAATATTTTCAACAGTAAAACTACTGTATAAATGACATCTATTATTAATTACTGTGGTTAGGTGCCTTTGAATCGATTTCAACTCAAAGTGACCCTATATGACAGAGCAGAACTGTCCCATAGGTTTTCCAGGATATAATTTTTACGGAAACAGATCACCAAGTCTTTTCTCCAGCAGAGCCACTGGGTGGATTTGAACCACTAAGCATATGGATAGTAGCCAAGCACTTAGCCGTTTTGCCAGCAGGGATCCTTACTATTAATTACTGTTTCCTTTTAATCTGAATGAATTATCAGCACATGTTCACCTATCTTATTAGAATGGGGTATATCACAAGAGAAAGCAAAAACAATTAACTTTTAAGGTGATATGAAAATATAATACATATAGCTTAGAAGAAGCTGACTGAATAGTGATACAATACCTTTACTTTGCATAAAGACATCATTTGATAGCCTGAATCCATGAGATATCTTGTGTTTAACAAAGTAACTAACAGTAAAAAGGAAACTCTTAATATTTCATGTTATTTTCTTTCAATAATTCTTGCTATTGAACATGTTTCTGAATATACAATTGAGGTCCATAAAAATTAAGGTTTCATTTATAGAAAATTTTACAGATAAATTCATCTCATAATGACATAATTTTACTGGAACTGAACTATTTGGGATAGGACAAAGATAGGGCTATCACATATATAAATAGTTGACTTTACTGTGAAGAGTAAAACAATATAACAGAATGAGTTTTTAAAGATAAATAGCATTGCAAATCTAAACGTTACCAATAAATTTCTGCCTAAAATATAACTGAGTTTTAGAAAGCATTTCTAACTACAGTAATACTCAACATATATTGACTAATCTTTGTAAAATTTTCTCTCATCTACTACTCACCTGACTGCATCATTAGCCTCTGACACAGCTCTCAAATATTCCTTCAAATAATAATAATTAAAGAAATATTTCCGAATCCTATAGCCTCGCCATCGTCTCTGAATCTATTGATGTAAATAAAAAGATACAACAGTTCATTAAATATGTTTAATGAAAACACTATCATTTATTCAAAATCAAGATGATAACTCATATCAAAAAAAGTATCTTGTGCCTTTTCACTAATATTATATTATTTGCTAACGTAGGTATTACTCATAGATCTATTATAAAATATTGCAAAGATAAAAACATACTTATAAGTTATAATTTACTTTAAAACATTTGCAATTATAAAATACTGAACTCTGCTATTGAGAAATTAAAAAGTTGCTTTAAAAATCCTATCACTTCCACTTCCTGAACAAATTAATGTTATTATAACCTAATAATTTAAGGATGGTACTCAAGTCTCAATGAAATTAGCATAAAGTATTTAATGGGCTTTTGTAATTCAGTGGTTTTAAAACCTTTAAACAAAATGCTATCTTGTATCTTAATCATGACATTTTAATACATCTTTAACAATAACAACAATAATAATAATACCTAACATTTCTTGAGTTCTTATTTTGTGCCAGACACTATTTTAAAAGTTTTACTTGTACTTACTCATTTAATCTTTATAACAATCCTATGAGATAAGTACCTTTATTACCTGATTCATAGATGAGAAAACTGCTTAAAAGAGAAATTACATTAATTTTCCTATAACCATATGGATCCAGAATCAAATTAAGGCTTCAGAGAAACCCATTATCCTTAACAATACAACACCAAACTGAGAACAAAAGAGAAATTTAATTTTCAGCGAACATAATTTTTATCAAAAATGTTTTTATATTTCCTACTGAAATACTGACATTCGAATAGTTTTATTTTTCCAGAACAAACAATCACTGGCTTTTTTAGGATAGGAGGAGTTTTCAGGGGTATAAGAAACAAAGTGGACTTCTGGATATCTTATGAAACATCAGTAATCATGAGAATCATTCAATCTCCTTAATCCCTAACTATCTTTGCTAATACAACTAAATCTATGATAAAGTTAAAAACAAAAATGATAATGCAAAGAACTTTGTGGTAAATGAAAAACAAAACACCTGAATGTTGTTAAAAAACAAAAACCAAAAATTCGCTGCCATCGAGTTGATTCTGACTCATAGCGACCCACTTTGGGTTTCTGAGGCAGTAAAACTTTACGGAAGTAGAATGCCCAATCTTCCTTCCACGGAGTGGCTGGTGGGTTTGAACTGCCAATCTTCTGGTTAGCAGTCAAACGCCTTAAGCACTATGTCACCAGAGCTCCTTGAATGTTGTTAAAGGAGTAGAAAAGAAGAAACAGCAAAAATTGAAAAATATTAATTCAGCCATGCATAAAGATTTACATAATTTCCTAAAGTTTTATAGTAGTTTATACACATTTATGAAAGATTCACATGTGAATGATTCTTCTTTTAGGATATGAAGTCCTCCCTATTTTAGCACAGTTCTGTAGGCTAAACTTCTTCTCTAAACATACTTGTTTTTTTCCAATGAGAAAGGGTAATATAGAGACTTAAACTTGGTCCCCTGGGTTTTATCCCTAAAGCCTAATAAGCCCGGTTAACTAAAAGAGGTTTAGTTGAAAATTTTTATGGGTTGAATGATGGATCGATAAAGAATGAATGAGAGAAATGTTTTCCTTGAATCATGATCTTTAATTTTTCTCTGTTTTGAAATATGGCTAGTCCAGAGATATTTACAATCATTTTACAGTCTGAGATATTAAATGTTAAGATTATGAGGATATATTTCAGACAACCTCCCAGTAAGAGAATTGCTAAAATAATTGGAGGTATCATGCAATACAGCTTATAAGAACAATTAAATCAGAGGTAGTAATTACAGAAAATAAAACCAAGCAGTAGAGCAAACTAATGTAACATGAAGTCATAGAACATGTTTTACAAAATATTTCTCAAGTCATCTTATTTTGGAAATTGATTGTTTAAACTGAAAAATTAAAATTAAATTTTCTAAAATTGTACAGTTTAGAAACCCTCTCTCCCTCCCCAGTGTGACCAAAATCATATTATGGCTGACAAAGAGAAAGAATTCATAGAAACCATTTACCTAATGAAAAAGAATAATCAATTTGAATATATATACATATATAAATTACATATGCAAATAAGTATTTTCATGGTTTATCTAATTTAATCATTACAGCATCATTCTGAGGTAGGGACTATTATTAGCCTCATTTGATAGAAGAGGAAATTGATGCTAGAGAGGTTAAATAATTGCCTAAGATCACATACTGCTTGGATTGCTTTTAATGTTTCAGCATAATTTTACTGCATATACAGTAATGATTTTATTAAGGAAGTGAACACTTGTAAACACATTTACTGACAGAAAATCCATCATCAGGGATAAAAGTGACTCAGGAAGCACAGGAAAATATTAGGGTATCAACTAACATCAAGGGAGCGACTACTGATCACATGAAAATATTATTAAATTCTAAATAAAACAAGATCCAATATTGTTGTTGTTATTGTTATGTGCCCTCGAGTTGGACCCTACTCATAGCGACCCCTCCTTGGGTTTCCGAGGCAGTATCACTAGGGAAGTAGAATATAGAAACATAAAACATAAAAGATGCTTGCTGGAGTAGTAAGAAGAAAAAAGAGAAGATGGTGATGTAGAATAAATAATATGAAGGATCAAAAACTGAAATTGGTTGAAAAATATGTGCTAACATAGGAAAAGCTCTCTGTACTTGGGAGAAAAAAAAAAAAAAAAAAGCCAATGAGATGGGCTCTTTCCCTCTCCAAATCCAGCAACTGCTAGAAGCACCACCAACCACACTCACAGAGGATAAAATTGGTGTGTTCTTAGGTAACTTCCTTAACACACTGCCCGTCCAGTCAGATCCGACTCACAGAGACCCCTCCTTAGGTTTCCCAGGTGGTATCACTACGGAAGTACATTGCCTAACCTTCCTTGCGAGGAGTGGCTGGTGTGTTTGAACCGCCGGCCACTATTCTTGTTAGCAGTTAAATGCCTTAGGCACCCTTGAAATTTACCCAAAAGCAAGTTAAAATGCCTTTCCAAGACCAATTCTCTTATTCACAATTGATTATTAAAGAGTATAATAATTAAATGATAGTTAAATTAAGACTAAGTCACATTAAATCAATCAATCTTTAAGTGGCTTTTTTTTAGAGATAAGTAGGTTAAAAAAAAAAAAAAAAGACCTGGAAGACAAACACTGAGCATTTGAGTAGTTAGAGAGGCTGCAATCCAGTTAGGTGGAGGATATAAAATTTATTGAGCTCCAGGTATTATAGTAACAGCTTTAATTCTCACAATAGCCTTGTGAAGAGGGCACAAACTCCAGATCAAAAAGGAAGATGAAACAGGTTAATTTGTTCAAGGTCACAACAGTAAAGTACTAAGTGGCGGTCAGGTTACATACCTAAGTCTGTCTTACTCCAATGCCAAGATTTTTTTCATTAAAACATCTTAAGTATTTATGCTATAAAATATGTGCATATATATTTGTGTGTATGCCTTCTTTAATTTAAAAGACACCATTTTCTTACATTATAGGAAGCAAAATTTAATGAATTGTTGATTGATATAAAGTATAATATGGCTGGATTTCTACTTTAGTTTTTGTTATAGTAACAAATGACATCTGGAATTTTGCCTAAATTTCCTGTTAGTATTCCAGTACTAGGAGCTCTGGTAGCATAGTGCCTAAGGCATTTGGCTGCTAACCAGGAGGCTGGAGGTTCCAATACTAGTTAAACTTTTAATTTGAACAACAACAAAAAAAGAACTTCAAAAGACAGAGCACATTTTGATAAATAACATTTCTTCTTAATGCCAAGGTGAATTGGTTACTACTTTCCCTCCCTCCCAAAAAAAAAAAAAAAAACCTCTAAAAAAAAAAAAAAAAAAAAAAAAAAAAAGGGCTAGTATTCACGTCCTTCAAGGTAATTAGAAACTTTCAGAAGTGATTGGTATAAAACAATTATTGTCATTGATTAGCTCTGAATAGATAATTTTAAACAAAGTCATTGTCTGCTCAGCAGATTACAGCTTGTTAACAGGCAAGTTCTAAATGACCTCTTATGCTAGTCAAATCAATGATGCATATTCCTCATTAAGTAACATCAAAATGTAAGTGGTCTTATAAATAACGTTTATTTTAAGCACTAAAACAAATGGCAAAACCTTGACGTATCAAAAGCCATCTGCTCATAGAAAAAGATCTGTTGGGCTTACTTTTATTCCTGTAAATTCATAGTGAACTTAATGCCACCAAAAGAGCAAAAAGAGAAAAGGATAACGTCTTCAAACCTAAAATTAACTTAAAATGAAGACATGGAAAATAGTCATTGATGATAATCCACCCAGCATTAATTCTCTAAATATATATGAGACCAGAGAAATAGAACCCAGTTATTCAGAATGATACTCTTATTTACTCTAACGTTCAACATTCCAGGAATCTATAAAATGAGCTTAGAGAAAGGGTTTACTCAATGTTCAAAGTAGGAAGTTAAATAGCTAGTAATTATAATGCAGGTTTTAATTCTAGATGTCACTGGAGTGCTATGCCAAAATCACATAGATATATATGAATGAAAATCTTGATTAACTAGGTATTTTAGCAGAGATTCTGGATCATTAATCCATATGTGGTGTCTTCTCTTCAATGTTTTGTTTCCCCACTCTGTCCTACTTTATACTTCTCTATTAATTTATTTAATCATTTCACAATGATATTGGTGCTACAATTTGCTGGAGCAGAGAGGGAATATTATTTCGTCTGGTGATGAAACATTTAAACACCTATTCATCATCAGGCAAAAGTTTGGGTTGTCTAAAGACAACCTCTCTTGTTCCTTGGGCTCATATTTTAGGGTAATTTTTTTTCCCCTGCCAGATTGTTAGGTGGTGAAAAAGGGGTTAGGGAAACTACAGAGGAAAGAAGATAAACAAGAGGACCAGATTCAAAAGACTTTTCCAAAATCTTTATAACCAAAGACCATGGATTGACATCTTC